CCCGAACATGACTGCGACCTCCGGCCCCGGGCAGCGCTCCTCCTGGAACCCCCAACAGGGAGTCACAGAAGCTCCTCACCTGAGACTTGGGACATGTCCTGGCTCTCATCACCATCCATTGTCCCGGGGTCACCTGAGAAAGAGAGGAAGGCGTTTAGTTTAAAGCGAGCCCGGCGGGATGTGAGCGCGGGATGAGTCAGCCCCGCGGGCTCCACAAGGTTATCTGCCGAGAGGGATGCGTTTTCCTCCTCGCGCTCTCGCCGGGGTATTAGACGGGCACAGACCTTGATCCTTTAAAAAACGGCCTTACAAAGATTTATAAAAATATCATTACCGGCACGGAAAGACCAAATTTGTTATTTATTGTTAATTTCCTGCTGCATAATAACCCAAAATGCAAACTGACTGCAACAAAATTAAGCAGAAAATTAAATGGCCCCAGGTCATTGTAGGCACGGAATTCATTCCCCGGGCTGATCCACAGTTATGTTCTCTCTAATTTACCGAGCATGCATCGATGAACCTTGAGTCAGCGTGGTGACACGCGCACAATCAGCAATCAGAAAAAACGAGGCAATTTGCTGAAGAATGTCTCATTTACCCAGGCGGGCGGCATCTCCGAGCAGCGCGCCCCGTCCATCAATAATGAATACAGCGCCCGCCTGGCAGGCGGCAGGCGCTTCCGCCTCCGTCCCCGGCGGCTCGGGCCTGCCTCACACCCCACCGGGCTCCCACGGGGAGAAGTGAGGCCGCCGCGGCGGGAGGAGGCCGGGAGAGGCCCGGGCCTTCCTGTTTTGCTGACAGACGGACGGCTGGCTCCGCAGATGGGTTTAGAAAGAAGAGAAAACCAGCCGGGAAGAGCTGCCCCTGGGTGGCAACTGCGAACGTGCCACAGGCCGCCCCCGCCAGCCACCCCCACAGAGAGCGGGGGACACCCGGGGGGCAGGCGTCCCTGGGCAGAGGGCTGGGGTGCTGTGGTGTGTGCGCAGAGTCCTGGGCTGCCCCGGGAGGTCTCCGGTGGCCCCGGGCACCAAAGGTGACTGCAGCCATCCTGCTCGACTCTGTTCTGCTGGCCACCTTTGGCAGCGATCTCGCCCCAGCCGGCCAACCGGGCCTGTTTATCGAACCTAAATCAGGTCTCGGTTTTCGGGGCACCTCTGTCTCTTTGGCTCAGGTGTGCGGCTCCGGGCCCTGTGGCCTGTTTTCAGCAGAGACCTGGGCACGGGGGGAGGGCTCAGGGGACCCCACCCTTTCCAGTGAGGCTGACAATAGCAGGCAGAGGCCACATGTGTATTTACGGGGCACGCGGAACACAGGTTTCCAGGCCCAGAGGTATCGACACTGGTCACGAAGACACGAGCGACCACTGCCAGCCTCTCCGGATGGGAGGGGCGTCCGCCTGCATGTGAAAGCCCCGGAGGGAGTCGGAGGCACGGCCTGAGTCTCCCAGGCTGCCGTGTGGCTTGGGCACAGCTGGTGACCACAGAAAGGAACAGGCTCCGTGGCCCACCAGCGCCTCTGCCCTGGGACTGAGCGGCCGGAGCAGCCGGAGCAGCCGGAGCAGACACAGGGGCCCCGGAGGCCAACAGGAAACCGGCCCAGGGCCAGGAGCCGGGTGCCGTGGTCGCACACGCTTCCACTGCGAAGAGGCAAACATCGACGATTCTTTCAAAACGTGTCAAAACAATTACAGAGAAACCAGACGGACTCAAATGAGAAGCGGCTCCGCAGTTACCGGGCAGCATGACCGTGGGCTCGGTTTTCGGAAGACGCGTCCAGCGTTTCCCACCCAGGTCGGAGACGCCCCTGGGCTGACGGGTGGGCCCGACGGGAGAACCCCAGTCCCCGTGCAGCAGGTCCCGCTCCAGCAACACTGTTTCAATGTTGGACGTCTCCCTACATAAGTGATACATTTCTTACAACTTTTTTTTTTTTTAATAAAGGCCATACAATGCCCATAATTTCCACCACTTAGAACTACTAAATGTTTTCCATGTGTACACACAGAGCTTTTCAGAAAAACAGGATACTCCACATATCCCAAATACACTGTTGTAAACGTATCTTCCACTTAATACCACCCATATAATTTTATTTTACAAACACACACTGACACCTTTGTCTTAAAGGCGACGCACTCCTCAGTGTAGGAAGTGGTTTAACTGATGATATCCTATTGTGTGCTCAGGCTATTTCCCATGAAAAGAAAAACATATTTCCTAAGGCCTGGCTCCCCGCCTACGCAGCACCTGAGGGTGCGCCTGCCAGTGCGCCTTTGGGGGACCCTCCCAGTTTGCTGTCAGGGGCAGAATCCGTGGACACCGAATTCAACACTGAGGTCCCCTTCACACATCCGTGTGTCCAGGCCGGTGGGTGGGAGGACACGTCATATAGGAGAAAACGCCTGCTCTGTGCCATGGCCGGGGCCCAGCGCAGGCTCTGCTCGGCGGGAATGCCCGCGCCCTGGGCAGTCACCTCACGCTGGCACCCGCTGTGACCCCGGGGGGGTGGGGGAAGGCGCCTTCTTGGGACCGGCCCTGACTTAGCAGCTGTCCGCACACTCGGATGGGGCGGCAGCTGTGTGCACAGCTGGGGAGGGACATGTTACGGAGCTGACCACACTCAGCCAGAGGACTCCGGAGCTGTGTCAACAGGCCAGTTTCCACGGTCACTAAATGTCCCCGCCCGGCCCGCCCCCAGCGCATGGACCTCACTCAGGTCGCAGGCCTCACTGCCATTCTCACCCACGTTCCGCCAGCCCCACTTGCACGTCATGGCTGCTCCATGGGCTTTCGGCCCGGACGGTCCTGGCCCTGCCCAGAGGACCCCTGGCTGGGACCCATGTCTGCTGGTCCCCACCATCGGACGCCCTGAGGAGCTGGGGAACCGGACGCTGCGTCTCAGCCTGCACCGGGCCCTGTGAATTCCTTGGCCTGTCTTCTCTGACAACACACCAAGGGGACTTGACAAGCTCCCTCAAACTTCCCCAAACTCCAAATTTGCATATCTTGGGATTTAAAAAAAAAAAAGTGGCTTTTTGTAACAGTCATTTTGCTTTTGGGCAAAGACCAAAGGACTGATCCAAGAGTGGGACTGTTTGAGAGAGGAAACTGCCCCCTGCACGACCGAGGGGCAGCCCTGGGGGTCCCAGAAGGGCAGTGGCATGCCGCCCCGCCCCTGGGAGGGCAGGGACACCCCACCCACCCCTGGGGGCTCCAGCACCCCGGCTCTGAGCTCCCTGAGCCCCCTGCTCCCACACGAAGTGGGGCCCAGTAGCAAGAGAAGGGTCTCAGCTGGAAGGCGTTTACAATCGGAGAGAGGACTTGACCACAAAGCGAGTTAACAAATTATTTTCGCCAACCTTCACCTGACAGAGCAACAAGGCCGGCAGGGCCGTGAGGCAGGTGCCCGAGGGGGTCACCATTTCACAGAAACCTGCCGTGATTCTGCCCCCGCCTGGAAACCCAGAGGGTCAGTGACCAGGGCCGAGCTCAGCCCCTGACTGCAGAGAGCGCGAGGCCTGGAGCGTCCCGCCTGGGAGCTCGCAACACAAGCCCTCTCACTGTCTCTTCGAAGCCAGAACATCTAAATCTCGTGCGTGGGAAATGGGCGCAGAGACCGTGAAGGCAAGAGACAGGCTGTGTGGAGGCCGACCACTGAGGAGACACAGCCACTGTCACTAGGCACCCTCCCTCCAAATCCAAGGGCTCGCTCATCTGGGAGACCGACCCTCCCTCCCTCCCTGTGTTTCCCTCTGTCTCTCTGTCTCTCTGTCTCTCCCTGTCTCTCTGTCTCTCCCTCTCTCTTTGTCTCTCTGTCTCTGTGTCTCTCTCTGGTCCTTCTATCTAACAGGGTCCATCAGGACTTGCCTAGTTTCAGCTCAGCAGAGTTGGCGTTTTGATGACTTCAGGGGACAGGGGATGCGGAGGGTGAAGCAAAGACCCAAACAGCAGGAGGGACAGGCCCACGGCCCCGTGGTCCCAGCGGCCAGACCAGGGGAACTTGTACTTGGGCCCAGGGTGACCCTCCAAGGAGCTTCCTTTGGGAACAATGAGACTTTTGGGAAATGACCTTGCCTGTCTTTCCTCCTGCCACTCCCACCAGGGACTGGAAGCTGGGTGTCTCCGGGGAGAAGCGGCAGGGGCCCCGGGCAGGGTGGCATCTGAGGGAGGAGCCGGGGAGCTTCCCGAGGGGCATCCTCACTGCTGCCTACAGGGGGCATGTGGCCCTGGGAACGGCTCTGAGAGCCCAGGAGCCGGAGGGCCAGGGTCAGGGGAGGGTGGTGGCGGTCCTTGGGCCCTCCCAGTGCCCCCTCTTGTCTACGGTGAGCTCCCCTCTTCCCGGTATCTGCTCTGAGATTCTGGCTCTTCCGTAATTCTGAAACGGAGTCTGGATTAGTGGAGTCACGAGCACAAGATGCCTGTCAAAACCTCAGCTCGACTCCTCTCCAAGCTGCCCAGTTCATGCTCCCGAAGCAGCGGGTACACAGCCTGCCAGGGACACAGAGTGTGGGGTACACAGCCTGCCGGGTACACAGCCTGCCAGGGACACAGCGTGCTGGGTACACAGCCTGCTGGGTACACAGGGTGCCGGGTACACAGCCTGCCGGGTACACAGCGTGCCGGGGACACAGCCTGCCGGGGACACAGCCTGCCCGGCTGCCGGTGGCCCCGCACTGGCCCAGGTGCTGAGCACCCAGCGCGGCCTCCGGCTGCAAACTTTAGTTCTCCGAGGTTCAAACAGCTACACTCTCCTTTTCTCGAAAAGCCAACCGCCACATACGCATGGTGCGCAGTCAATAACCACACACGGCAAAGTGAAAAGTCACTGGGTGTCGCCGTAACAGCTTCTCACAAGAAAAAATGGTTTCTGTGACTGTATGTGGCGACAGATGTTAACCAGACCAACTGTGGCGATCATTTTGCAACATATAAAATTATGTAAATATTAAATCATTACATCATACACCTGAAACTAATATAATGTTATGTATCAATTATATCTCAATAAAAAAGACAAAAAGACATATATACACACATGCATCCATAGACATGCACACATACACACACACATACATACACGTACACACACATACACACACACATACATGTATGCACACACATGGC